GATTCAGAAACTATTCATTTATTTTACCTTATCGTTTACTTTAAAATTTTTCTGCTTTCCCTAATTTAAGAATTTTATATAAATATTTATTAACCATTCCCACAACCTCATGTACTGCCGAAAGATCATGAGTAAAATTAAATTAATTAAAACAAGACTGCGCAGTACCATGAAAGATTCTTTTCTCAATAATTTAACCATATTATCAATGGAAAATTTTTTATTTAAACAATTAAATACTGATGAAATTATAAATTCTTTCGCTTTCTCTTCCCCTAATTTATCTAAATTATTAATTTAAAAATAATATTTATAAAGTTATATTTTTTGCATTTTATTTATATTATATATTAAAAATTGATGCAATAAAAATTTTTTTTGAAATTTATGGGTGTCATAATTATCATTTTTTCGAGGGGGTACTTTTCATGGGGGTATTCTGCTTCATTCGCTCAAAAAGTGTAGGGGCCACTGTGTTTATGCCAACAGTTTTAAAGGGATAGAAAAATATCTTAATAATTTTGGTATAGGGGAGACTACATCTAAAATAATCAATTCACAAACCATGATTAATAATATTGCCCATGCCAATATTTCTCAGAAACTGGCTGATAAAGTCATTGTCGAATTTATTGTAAATATAACTTTTCTTTTTCAATAAGGGCAGCAGCTAAATTTTGTAAAAAAAAATTCTACAAGGCATTATTCTTTTTTTTTGTAAAATATCCATGTATAATTTTTAAAAAAAGATATGTCTAGCCATAAAAAACTCTAATTCATATTTTACTAATTTATTCTTTAGTTAAGAAATTTGATTTTTTTTATTAATAATCTTTAACAACACAAAATTTTCTATTAGCAAAGAATCAAGGTTATCTGTAAGTAAAAAAAATTAAGTAAATTTTAAAAAATGATTTCTCTTAAGCGACTATTTTGATAAATATTTAGTCTATTTATTGTAATGGGATTAGTTTATTTTAAAAAAGTTTACGCCATAGTCTTCATTTTATACATAGACCAATCGGGTGGGCATACCTCTTTTAATCTAATCTTGATTGAGTTATTATTTTAATTAAGATAAATTCGACTATTAATTGTACTTTATAATATGATACTTATAAAATGACGAACTTGAATATAAAAATGCTGTTTAGTATATTAAATTAGGAGACGCCATATAATCTTTTTATTTCATAACCAATATTTCATAATAATAATAATAATTTCATTTAAAATAAATATATTATTAACTATTTAAATTAAGAAAATTTTAATAAACATTCATTTGCTATAATATAAATGAAATTTTGCTTCAGTTATTATACTCCTATTTATAATAACAACAACAAAATAATATATATAATTTATAAATTTATAATTATATAATTAAAAATAAAATTCTATAATTGAGTCCCCAAAAAGGAACCATAATTGTGTCTAAAAATTTCTATTTGAATTTTTTGTCGAATAAAAAGAAATTCTCTGGGTTCATTTGTGAAAAGTCGTATTATATTATCCAGATTTTTTAAAAACATAAATGTTGAAAGCGAAAAATGCCCGTTTAGAAGTCACTACTGGAGTGAATATGAAGTTTTTAAAATTTTTGTATTTGTTTGTCTTTTTTTTTCTGCCTGTGTTATTAAATTGAAATTTATGTTTGAAGGGAATGATGAGACACACGTGTAGTCCCATATGAATGATTTGCCGAGGGCCCAAGGTATGGTTGTCATACCATCAGGTCTTAAACCATCTACTTGAGATAAATTTGATGGTTCAAGATTGTTTGGAATGTGTGCAGCTGTTAAGCTTCTATTTATTATATGGTTTACAGCTGAGTGGCGTTGATGTCGCCCTTGAATAAAAATACAATTTAAGCCATGTCTATCCGTTGAATCAACGGGTGATTTGCATTTGATGCAGGCATGAGGCTATACTATATCGCAACCTAAACCAATGGTTACTCTCAGTTGTTCATCTGATAAGAGATTACCAAGGTTGCGACTAGGGGTGATTCTAACCATTCATGACCACCAAGTCTGTCAGATAATTGAAGGAGTTGAATGCAATCTAAAGGTGGATTGACTGATATATCTGTTTGGTATTTCGAAATTAAAGGTGTGAAAATTTTTTCGTGTGTGATGATTGATGGTAATACAGTGTTAATGGGTGTGTTTGCCTTCCATTTGTCAATAGCGTCGTCTAATAAACGATCGGTAGGGTATATGAATCCAGAAATCATATTGTTATATAATCTAGATGATACGAATGATGATAAGGATAAAAGATTGAGCGGCAAAAAATCTAAACCGCCTAGTTTAGAAGGTAGCTGAGCAAGTGACCATTTGAATGAGTTTAAATTTATGTTTAAAATTTTTTTCATAAATATTTTAAATTTATCCTGAATTTTTGATATGAATTCATTGTTTTTGAAAAAAGATAATGATCGGAAAATGTGCATAAATTTAGGTATGTACAGGCATTTGCGAATTAAAAATAAAGATTGATGAGCTGGTAGGAGACTTAGAATGTGCTCCATACTGTAAAAGCTTTTAAAAATCTTGTGGAGAAAATCTTCCGACTTGGTCGCATTAGCTAATGGGGACCCAAGTAAGGTTAAGCTGTCAGGAGCAATGATTTTGTAGCCTTCCAACTTTTGTGGCTTATTTTAAGAAACATAATTCTATTTTATTTATGTTGAATACCAGGCCGATAGCTTGGGAATTGATTTCCAGGTGTTTTAAGGCGCTTAGTACATTAGCTGAAGGGCCACAGATGGTCCCATTGTCTAAATAGCCTAGATTATGATCTAGGTTGAAATTTTGTTTAATTTGGTAGATGAGATGTTGGATTCCAAAACAAAAAAGATAAGGTCCTAATGGATCCCCTTGTTGGATGCCCAGTATAAAATCTGATAGGATCCATATGTCAAAGGTGTCTGAAAACCATATGAGGATTCAATAAATTTAGAATAACAGGGAAATGTTTCATAGAAGAATTTTAAAAATGAGGTACGATGTAGGCTATTGAAGGCATTTTTGAAATCTAGTTTACATATTGCAGAATCAGGTGGTGGGTTTTCTAAGTAAATTCTTAAGGTATGAGCCGCTATTTCACAGCCATCCTTGATCCCAAAACCTAGTTGATAAGAGTTTAAAATGTTGACAGCATCATGTTTGATGTGTTCAATTATGATTATGGCTATTAATCTTTTGAAAAAGGAACCTACTGCAATGGGACGGGTACCACCATCTGGCTTAGATAAAGCAATTAGACGTGCGCCAAAAAGGATTTGGTGAGTTTGCATTGGAATATCATTATTTATTATGTTATAACAATGTTAAAACCTTGATGACTATGGGAAGGATTTTTTGAATTAATTAAGTATTGAAAATAGGAGGGTCTGAAACCAACAAGACCCCCTGCTGAGTATTTATTGAAAGAATTGATAGCATTATCTATTTCATCACTGGTAAAAATTACAGTCTGGTGGATTGGAGATGGGTAGATTATCTGTACAAGCTTCAGGATGTAGTTGTTTCAATAGCTGTAATGTTTCTTCATTGATAGGAGAAAGATGGTTATCTGAGGATATGAGTTTAATTGCACCACCTATGTCACCTTGATCTATTTTATTTGATATTATTTTGCATTTGTGTGTTATATCATTACTTGCTTTTTATAATTATGATTGTAGTTAATCATTTGAATAGTGTCAAAATTATCAATGTTTGATTTTATTTGTTCATGTAATGGGGTCTCTTTGTTAGCGGGACGTATAAGACATATGTGAGAGAAGGTTAATAAGTCTTCCCATGATTTTAAACAATTTAAGTTATCATTAACTTTTGTGATAAGTTTAATAACAAAATTTGAAATTAGGTTTCAAGATTTATTTGGTAGATGTGTTAAAGTGGGTCCTTTTTTCCATTCAAAAAATCTTTCAAAATCTGTGTTAATAAGGGGAGGATGAGGCTCAATAATATTTAATAAGGGTTTGGATATTGTTATAATTTCATTGGTTGGAAATTTTTGAGAGGAAGGACACTGCTATCAATCTCTATAAATATTTTTATTTTGTTTAGACTTTATTTATTTAATTAATTGTATATTGCATTTTTTGTTTTCATATTCATATTTGTTAAATAGTTCTGTTACGATTTTGGAATATTGGGAAGAAACACGCATCAAATTAATTAGATTTTATAAAATCTTATAATATTTTATAATAATAATAAATGTTATAATTATTTATATAATATGCAATTTAGCCATTCAATAATGGGAAATAAAGTTTATAAGAGCATTCATTTATTTTGAAGAATCTAGCGATATAAATCAAAGATAGAGATATAGATGAAAGTTTATAATAAATAAAATCCTAGGGATAAATAGTTATAATCTTAGGCAACCAATGATAAAATGCTTATTCCCGGGGTTTAGAAAAAGAAACAACGATTTTCTAGAGATATAAGAGATTTTTACAAAAAAATCTGATTCAATTATCTTATTTATACGTATTTAAGTAAAATCATTTTAATAAAATATAATTTAAAATAAAAAATGAACTCGGAAAATTCAATAAAAAGGATTCTAAAAAATAAAATTTTTACAGAACAAAATCAATCTCTTAAAATTATTAGTCCACAATTTTTTAAATCCTTATAACGAACAGAAGAGGATCCATCTCAGAATATTTGTTAAAGTCCTTTTAATTGCATAAATAATGTATGAGAGGCCAATAGGAATTGGCTAAATCATTTTTTCATCATATTAGATAAAGGTCCTAAGCCAATTCTTGCTTACTTATTAGACAATAAGTAACGTAGAACACTTAAAATATTTCACACTTATAATTTAAGTAATTATTTGGGTTATTTGATGTTAATTTTTTAAAATAATAAATGCTACGCAATATATAGAATTTTTTCCAACATATTTAATGATAACTTCGCGCGTATATATTTGCAGAAAAATATTCGTTATAACGGATTTGTAAAAATATGGCTAAATTATATTCGCTTCAAGTATTCGAAGTTTAAATTTCGAGGAAATAAATTAGAGATGATTTAGTTAGAGATATGTTTTCGAGATAAATGTTTAACAAAAGAATTTCGTTCAATTGGTTTGGACGATATTACGTTCATTTTAAAATTCCTTCTCAATAAACACAACATGTGTTTATAAATTTTTAGCTATAAAGTATCTCGCTATAAAAGATTAGCTCAATTGACATGATACGTTAAATCGAGTACCTTTTTATTTATCTCAATACTACAAAAAATATGCTGAAATTTAATTATTTGCAGTTTTGTTACAAACCGAATCCTGAAAGGATTTCTAGAAATTGTAAGATAGGTTCAGATTGCTATGGTTCTTATAAGTTTTATGGAATAATTCCAGGTTATGGTTCTGGTTCTTCCAGTTTCTCAGGTTGAAGGTTCTAATTTCTTATTTTGGTTTATGAATAATTTGATTAAGTTATAAGAGGTTTCAACAAACAAATTTTAGCAATATTTTGCTTTAACAATCAGTTTATCTTTCAATAATCAATATCTTTTAAGTATAAGCAAATATTCGTCTTATATCATTTATATAAAATTAATTTGTGAAATCTGAAATGGAAAATATTATGATGAAACTTTTATTTGGTGATAAAAAAAAATCTGAAAAGCAACCTTTAAAAAAAGGTAATATATATTATAGACATATTTAATTTTATTTTATTAGTTAAACAAAAGGGAAAAATTAGACAGTTATTTGAAAAATTGGTAAAGAAAAAATCCATTGATCTAAAAGGATCGGGAGAAACTAATGTTAATGATGACATTAGCAATATCAATGCGATGATAGTTCCAGACACTGCCAATTTGTTAAGTGGTTGCCTCAAACACAAAGAGAAATCTCCAGCTGCTCATAAAGAGGGTAAAATAAATATTATAGATATGCTTAAGATTTGTATCATATTAGACAAACAAAAATGGGTGAAACTTAATAACAATAAGAAAGATACCTTTCCCGATATTAGCATGGGGGGTGACGATAAGAGCGGACAATGCCAATATAGATTAAAACCTTTGGATTTCAAGTAAATTAGATGGATTTATTTGTTTTTAAGGTTAGCAAATAAAGCGATTGAAGAATGAATTTAAAAAACTATTATTCCATTCTTGGAATTTTTGAAAATTAAATTAAAATATTTTGAAAAGTGCAAATATGAATTAAGTCTAACAAAACGAATTATAACGAATAATTGGTCGAATCTTTATCATTTATGTATTCGATTCGAATTCTCAAAAATAAAATATTTTTATTTGAGATCTTAAAATACGAATCACATATCGTATAACAAATAATTTCTTTTTGGCATAATGTTTAATTACTCCAATAGTTGTGCAAAGTAAAAGGAAGAAAGATAAATTAAGAGAGAAAAATAAAAGATGAAAGTAATTCTGTTTAGAAGATGTCTAGTTAGAATTTAGAATATAATATTTTTTTTGTTGATTTTAATGGTAATTTTTAAACAAAATATTCAAAATATAGTGAATTAGATCTTAGTGCTAATCGAGAATCCAAAATGAACATATGCGACTGGACAAATTATAAAGGTAATCAAATTTCCCTAGAATATTTGACTAGTTAACACATCTTTTTTCTCCCTAAGTTTAATTGAATTTATAAAATCTTAATTCTTCATAACCTTTTTGCCCATCATATTTTGCAAATTATTACCAAGTTATTAAAATTTATGCACAGAAATCTTCATTTTAATTAAATACCCATAGAATCGTCCAACAAAACTTTCCCGCATAGTAAATTTCGCGGCGTTAATTCCAGAGAAGAAAGGGGTATAAATTTATATACCATTTTATTTCTCCAATATATTTTTCCTCTAGGTTTTTTTAAAATTTATATACGAAATTTATTATTAAAGTTCTAATAACACCGAAGCCCAAATTGTCCGAATTTAGATGTCACGGTGTCGTAGGAAGTGGAGAATTTGGGATGGAATTTAAAGTCAAGCTAAGGAATTCCACCCAAGAATATGCTTTGAAGTTTCTCAACAGACGATATTTCAATAGATATGAGGTTTATATTTATTTATCTTTTAATTTAATATGATTGCATTATAGGCTATTTTTTCCATTTCGGATTGTAAATCATATATTTTGTATATAGAATTTCGCTTCCGTCCGGTGTATTCGATCAGAAATAAATGTTCTTAAAACTAACAAGAACCATCCTTTCCTGGTTGGACTTTATGCATTTTATCAAACTCCGCGCAAGTATTTTATTATTTATCACAGATTTAATGAGAAAGTACGTAAATATAAAAGTTTTAGCTAGGTGCATGACTGCAAATATTTAAAAAAAATGAGAATTATATTAATCAATTGATTTGCCTCATGCTAGTTATTTCTTTAAAGCCACTCTTTGTTTGCAATGTTATAAGAGATAATTTTATCTCCTATCTTTTAATGATAAGAGCGTTTTAAATAAGCTAACTTTCAAAAAATTTAAAATCTCATATTATTTTATTTCGTAGCTATATAATAGTGAGGGACTTCACTTCTGGGGGTGATCTTAGATCCCTTTTAAAAAGATACGGAAGACTCCTTGAAGATCACGCTATATTTTATTCTGCACAAATCGTGATTGCCATAAAATATTTGCACGACAACGGTTTTTAGAAATTTTTTTTTTAAATGACAAGTTCTTGTATTTATTAAATATTATTGTGAATTTTAACATAATTAGGTACAATTTTTAAGTAAATTTTGTATAAAATATATCTGCTAACTGCAACAGTTACCTTTTTGATAAGTAATTTATATCTTTAGCTAATTTTTACTCAATCATTTAATAAAAACTTTTTAGAAATTCAAATACAAAGTTTATTTTTATCTTTTAAGGAATCATTCATCGTGACATCAAACCGGAAAGTATACTGTTAGACCGGAAAGGCTATGTAAAACTAGGCAACTTTGTATATTGCAAGGTATGTAAAATAATTATTTTTGAAAAGATTTGATTATAGACATTTGTGCCAATAAAACTATCTATGGCCAGCGGTGGTACGTTCCTTTTAACCTCCGTCATTTTGGGCGACTTAAAATTTTTGTAATATGCAATTTTTAATTTTTTTATTAAGAAATACTAAATATAGCTAGAAATAAAATATGTATAACAGATATATGATCATATCATTAGATCTTTATTGTAGAGATAACTAATTTTAAATTAAAATAATATTTTGTAATTTTAATCATTTTAAACGAATATCAGAGTATAGATCTGTGCTATCAAGATCTAGCAATTCCAGTGTTTATTCTATTGTATTTGGAAATTTTTTTCTGATTATCTCGGATTCAAACTCAACCTCTACCATTTTATATTATTATAGCAGTTATTATCTCTCTTATTCTTTCAATTAGATTTTCAACCAAAGATTTTTTTTCGTACTATCCACTTGTTACTAGATAACATAAACCATGAACTAAACATAAGTAGTGTTTATATTCACTATCTTATCTAACCCTTTTTAACCAATAAAAGTATTTATCAGAATTTATTGAAATTGTTTTATAATTTCGTTTTAAATATAAAATTCCCAAAGAATTTTCTTACAAATGATTTTCTATTTTCATGATGTATAATAATATCAAAATCATTTTTAAATTTATGAAATGCCTATGCCGACATTATCCATATTAAAAATATGCAAATAAATGCTATATCCTTTGTAGTTTTCGATCTTTGTTTGTATGAAGGTTAGCTGGCGCATGGCTGGATATGATAATAATTTTATTTAATTCAGAATTTAAAATTGGTACGAAATACTTGGATCCACGAAACAAAATATAAATGTAGAAACCAAAATATGAAAACTTCTTTTTAAATTTCCAGGAATAGGTTCCGGAAATCGATTAGAATATTATAAACATTTTGTCGTTCCTTAAAAAAAATTTGAAAATGGAACCGTACCATTTAATTTAAGCCAAAGAAATATCGATAAGCTTTTACTATTTCAACAAATTATCAGTTCTAGTACTCTTAATTTAATTAATTCTTATTAAATCTTGTGTAAAAATTATATTTAATGCTGCGAGAAAATTCGTACTTTGTTGAACCGAGCTATTACTGATTTTTGTATCTATCATAATTACATAAATTAGGAGGGCATAGCAAAAGATGAAATGGTTAAAGGATTCTGTGGGACAATCCCTTACATGGCGCCCGAGATTATGCGTAATGAATACTATGGTAAGCATGTTATTTATTATGTAATCTCGAATATAGAATATTAGTTTTTTAAAATATTTCTTAAACTTAACTTTAAAAATTTTAATAAACCAAATATTTATTCTTAGATAAATATATTCTTTAATTAAAAATTTTATATTAATTATGAAAGATTTTAACGTAGACTGGTACTCTTTCGGAGTTGTTCTCTATGAACTACTAATTGGCCCTGTCGATTTACTAGGGTCTGATGAAGCAACTTCTCGCTACTACCAGGGTTCAATAAATTACACTTTTAATGTTTCTTTGAATTTTATTTTTTTAATAGATAGTTAGCATTTTTAAAATTATTCTTATAATTAAATAACATGTAATCATGTTTAATCTTTTTGTTTAATTCAGCAATACTTTCAGGTCCATGGCGTGTTTCAGTCGAAGCCACCTCTATATTGAATGGATTCCTCAATATGGTATGATAAAATAATTAGTGCATTTAAAATATCAATTATATATATTATGATCACAGAATCCTGAGGAAAGACTAGGAAGCAATCTAGAAAATGGTTTTAATGATATTTTCTCCCATTCATTTTTCGCCTCAATTAATTGGGATAGGGTAAAATGTGTTTTTATAATTTTTAAAAAAGAAAAAATACATACATAGTATTATCATATTTTTATATTTAAATTTTTCTTCTCCCTTCTATTTAGCTACAAAAAAAGGAATTATACCCACCTTACAAACCGAAGAGAAACATGAAATTTGGGGTTTTACGATATTTCTTCGATGCATTACTATATTTAGCATACATGAAAGACTTAATGTGATTATAATTATTATTATCATATCTAATAAATAGTTGAAAAAATAATATTGAAAATAATTTACTTTGACCTATGCTTTATAATCCCAAAGCAATTTTTAGGTTATATTTTTTAAATGCTGCTTAAATTTGTTTAGATTTAAGAACAACTTAAGTTAAAATTCTTGAAATTAAAATTAAAATATGTTTATCAATTTGTGACAAATTATTGAAAAGTATTGTTTATAGAAAAATTTGTCTTATAGATGTTCCAACCTATGACTAGTTTCGTTTCGCCCAATGCTAATATTTTATTTTATTGTTGCTTATGTAATTTTAGCGTACTTTAATAAGTTTTAAACAAAGTGCCTTAAACTTTATATAAATCAGGGAATGAATCAAAATTTTATATCTGCTTCTTTATTTGACAATTCATTCATAAAAGCATGTTTCAATTAAAATCAGCTGTAAACGCCATTAACACCTGTTGATTACCACGATGATAATGTCTCTTACTACCAATATTTAAATTCTTATAAATATTTTAATAAATACTATGGTTATATATATAATTATTTTCCTATAGTTAGTTCTTAATACCATGATCTGTTAAAAATAGTCCATTATTAATTGTTATTTTATATTTAATTTGCTACTTATACAATTTTATTAATCAAACATTCTATTTTATAAAAAGCATTATTTTTACTTTCTAAATTATTAATATTTACATTCATTACAATAATATAGTCAAATCTTCTAAAATAAGTTTAAGTTCTTTGCTTATAATATGCAGGTAAGCAATATCAGCAATTTTTATTCAAGTTTGTTAGAAATCTTTTTATTAACTGTATGCAATAATATATACCTAAACTGAAGATTCCATATAAGAATATCCATACCAATCAGACACTGACACATTTATTTGGGTTCCATATAAATTACATTTAATTTTATAAAAACTTAATTAAAGAGTTTTGTATTTATGAAATATGGAACTAAAATAATGTGTCATCATCGATTTGTATTTAACAATGCTTAATGCATTATAAGTTAATCTAGGGTTTAGGTAAGTATTATGTCATTGACTATGCTATATGGGGCTAAGAGTGTGAATTTTATAACTCACAGCTTATAAATTGTTTTATTTTGAAGCATAGACGTAGCCGAAGAGGGGGTGGGGCAAGGGGAAATCCCCCCTTTCAGAAATTTATCATTTATTATGAGTATCATTTTAAGCTAAAAAATATTCCCCTTAGTCCTCCCCCTACTCTCTGACTCCTAAAAATGCAAGCATATATCTTAAACAATAATTTGAAAGAAAGAATGTAAAAGTTGATATTTTTTTATAAAACTATTCATCATAATTTATACATTTTTGGAAAAATATAAAAAAAGTGAACCAAATTTTTTTTTTAAGTAATGGAATATAACCCTAAGATAAGTCTTATAAAAAAGGTGAAATGTATTATAATTATTAATAATAGATTCATAAAATTACTAAATAATATGATATATCAAATATAATTTTTTATAAAGTGAGTAATTTTAACTTATTTATCTTAATAAAAGTAAAATATAATTATAAAACTATTGATAAAATTAAATCATAAATTAAATAAAAAAAATTAAAGCATAATATAAACAGTGGTATATTATATGTCGAAGATTTACAGTATATCTAATTTTATCAATTATCATGAGAATCAAGTTATTTTTACCAATATATCGAATTATATATTTTACAGAAAACTATAAAATATTGACAAGGACATCAGATATCCTTTAAAGACATTGTGGGATGAATAATATGAAGATTAATTTTTAATATCATTTTTATTTAAAATAAATTGGCGTTAAATAATTGAATGCAAATTGTTGCTATATTTATTATTAAGAGCATTGATTAGTAAAATTTGTTAAAATATTAACTTTAATATATTCTCTAACTGTCAAATATGTCTGTAAAAGGGGAATTTTACCTAGTATTTTGTAACTAATTCTATGTAATAGAAGAATATCAACTATATGTCTAATTACTTTTTATAAATAAATAAATTATTACCATGCTTTTATAGTAATGTATATATAAGTAATTTATTATATTTTATATAAACTAATAAAAATATATTTCATATTTGTTCCAGGCTTATTTTTTTTATATTAAAATTAACCTCCTATCTTGTAATTCCCTCCCCCCTTAGGAAAATCCTGGCTACCCCTATGTTTTGAAGTTATTTTTTTTAAATTATAAAAAAAATTGAATTCTAATTTTTATAATACTATTTCTAAATCCAATTGTAGGGTTAGAGGTCTACTACTTACCTCTTAAAAAAAATCAGGGAGAAATAACATTAATAATTGAACGATATTTGAACATCCGATGATAATATTTGTTTTCAAAAATAAAAAAAAATTATTAAAAATATCAATATTTAAAAGTATATAGTCACAAAAAATCTAAAAATATTTTATAAGATATAAGAAATATTCATAATATATAATATCAACATTTAAAAATATATGGTCATGATATAAATCAATATTAAATTTAAATAAATTAATCTTAATTCAGGTACACTATACAAATTTATTTATTGGCCATTAAGTAAAATTGTTTTGGTTAAATTCTGACGAATATTTATATTAGATTTCCTATTTTGATTACCATAATGATGAAATCGGTTGTGCAAATAACGTTCAATTATTAATGTTATAAGAATTTGATAATGGGTGATTAGTGCTTTTTGATTATGCATTAAGAATTTAAATATTTGGTAATAAGGCAAATTATCATCGTGGTAATCAACATGGTGTTAATGGCGTCTCCAGCTGATTTCAATTGATACATGTTTAAAAATGCATTTTAATGAATGAATTGTCAGTTTAAGTATTAATATATGTCATTGGACGAGGTAGACCTATATAGCTAAACGTTCTAGTTTGACAACTGGAAGGAAACAATATTCATTTTATCCTTCTTTCTTTTTTTGCTGATAAAACACATTTGAGATGAGAGAATTTTGCTTTAGTTGGTAGACCATTATGGCCTCTAATCTTCTTATTTCATTTTCCATGATCCTGAGCATCAGCTCTCAGCATTTTCCGTATCTCACTTCATTACCTTTATCAAATTTTTCTTCGACTTTCTCGAGGCCTTGTTACCTACTCTCAATATAGTGCATATCTTTACCCAGCCATTTTTCACAATCCGATTCATATTTTCAAAATATCTCCGCCAATATTTCAATCATCTATAGTTATTATCCCAAAATTTTTTCGAAAGTATTTGCCTGATTTTTTTCTCTCTCTTAATGATTTATTCCTCACGCATCCATCCATTTACATCTTTATTATTTAATTTCATGAGTCATTTCTATTGGCCATATATTATTACTCAAGTGTATCAGAGGATAATTTTGTTTGAACATGAGAGAAACGAAGTGTTAATAGTGAAAACTATACCAATTTAATTAATCCTATTAATATGAAAATAAGTTATGGATGCTCAGAAAAAAGAAAAAAGAAAGAAAGATGTCTACATAAGGCCTATTATATTAAAAAATTTTTACATTTCCAAAATTCTGAAGTGTGTTTCTACTCATCAGGCGTTTTCCTATTTTCAAAAATTTTAGATCCATATTAGAGTATATTTTAAATAAATTTTGCCAGAATACATGGTTACAAATTAACTATTCATACAAAATTTGATGGATCTATGCTCTCCTTTACTTATCAATCATATTATTTATAGCGTCGGTCAGTATCCTAAACTCATTTTTAATCTAATCAAACCGAAGGAGTATTTGTTACTTAATCTCGCATTATTTAGCTAGTCGACTAATGTAACAGAGGGAACAAATTAACCGACCACAAGAATTAGGACTGCGTCACCTGTTAATATTGTACTTTCTAGTAACGATAGAGTGCTGTTTATCAATCTGCGTTCATTCTATCCAAACTGCAAAATGATTTCTGATATACGCTGAATTCAGGTACTCATTGGCAATTAGACTAGAGGTGGATATATCTTAATACATTAAATATCAAAGATGCAGGGCTTAAGTTAACAAAAAAGTAAGATGTCCTTTCCATTGTGTTTTTAATAGAAGTAAATATATAGTCATGCATGCAATAATTATTAAAATAATTCAGAAAGCACTTTAAGGAGTACTTGTTCCAGCACATATTGAACCGTGAGATTTGTCAATAATTAAAAACAGACCTGAATAAAAGACCAAAGGGAATGGATTTTACAGGTTCATAAATCCTAAAAGCATTGACTAAAATAGTAGAGTAACACCTTTAACAGTATAGCATAAATTTTGTTTCTATTAGTTAAAATTATAGATTAAACCAAATATTCTTGCATAAAGTATTTGATTGTAAATATTTTATAATTAATTATGCTTGCTATACCCTATAAAATAAGGATGAAATTTTATTATATTTTTATTGTATCTAAATATAGAATTATCGAAGCTTTGGGGCTGAAAAAATTAATATTTTCGCACTTATCCGATTTTTCGCAATTAAAAGACTAAATTTTAATCATTTAATATATAAACCAATTTTATGTTGGTATTAGTAATATATTATATGCAAGGTATATTAAATTTATTGTAAAATTATACAATTATTTTATTATTATTAAAATATTAAGAGATTTAAAATGTCTAAAAATATTTTTTTTTGTAATTTGAATCAGTGAAATAACATGTGATAAATTTAAAAATTATATCTCGTTTAAGCTCGGTTATATTAGTTACCAAAATTTAACAGTTTAAAATTATTACTTACGAAATTATGGTCGTCCAACCAGATATTCACGAACCAAAAGATAAGGCTCTTCAAATCCCTAATTCTACCTATCTTAACATATGGATTAGAGATGTGGTAGGACACCAAAAACAATATTAACACATCCCAGATCTTTATAAACAAATGCTAAGAAGAATTACTAAAACACTCTCTGGAATAGGTGCAACATCCTACCTATCAATCGACTCATTCCTTTGAGGAGAT